GCTGACGTTTCGACCCAATCATGTAGTACATCATTAGATCAATGATTTGAAGGCAAGATAAGTACCCTAGTTAACAAATCATTGCTTCACACTAATCTTCAAATCATTGCCCTGATGATCTATATGATTGGGTTGAAACATCGGCAAACCTAAATACTGACTAACTATATAAATAAATATTGACTGCATGTCCTGATTATTTTTCATCCATAAAAATGCATTACTTTTTTCACTTGAACATATAGTGATTGGAAACATTAATAAGTACAGTTAGCCAGAGCAGGCTGATATATAATGACTCACTGAAGAACCAGGATACACTAAAAATAAGTGAAATGAAATTTCAAGTTGCTAATTCTCTTCAATTATACATTCTAACGATTTACTATGATTATTCCAAATTCCTCATTTTGAACAAAGAATTGACAATAAAGCTGATTTGATTTGGTAAAAATGTCGCGCGAATTTGTATATCTGGATATTATCGAAAATTAAATGGAAGTTGTTGAAAAACAATGGTTTCTATTTTTAAAATCTTTCAGGTGACCATTTTTTAAAAATTAAGGTTTTTCCAATAATAGTGGATTTCAAATAAAAAATGAAGCATTTTGAAATATAACAATTTACCTAAATCATAAAATATGAATTGTGTAAAACATAAGTTTTATTTTTCAAAATTTAGAAACTGTCATACTGAAAAATTTACATCATGTAGCTTCTCACATTTTTGCTCCATGCCCTTCAATTATAAAATTATAATATATGTATTATTATGCAGGTTTCAAATATTTGTTTGAATTAATAAGATTATTTAATAAGAAAGTTAATATAAAATAATAAAGAAATTAATGATGATATAACCAAACCTGTTCTTACTTGAGTGAGAAGATCGAGATTCATTTTGTGGGTCTGCCACAAAATAAGTTTCATATGAAATAAATATGGTCCTATTTTTATTTTTCTGTCACTGCCACCCCCAACCATATGATAAAAAATGCAACAGATTTTTCAAAAATTGAAATAGTGCAAATTTAAAGGAAACTAAACACAAAAATAAATATAATCTGTTTAATTAGTTTTGTAATTTCAACTATTGATAAAAGTCAATACTTCTATAAAATTTCCTGTTCCTATGTCACCATTTCCTTTCTTCTTTACTGTTTCTGCTGAAACTTAAACGATTAGTCAATATTCTCAACTTTAATTATGGTTAACATTTTAGGTATAGGTATTATTAGATTTTGAAGGACTCTATTTTTGAATTTTATAATAGATTTTAGATGGCACAAGTACATTCCATTTTTGTTTTCATTAGGTATTGATTATTATATTTTATACACCAATTCTCAACAACAGCCTGTACCACTACAACCCATGAAGGATCTTGGGTTCAGTACTATTTAGGGAAAATACTGTTTCAAGGCCTACGGTTGTGCAGGGAGATCGGGCCAGGATCACGTTCAACCGCCAGGTTTTTCCCCTTAATCAATAATTTAATTAAGGGTACCCACTTCATACAGGCTGGGTGTGCCAATGAAACAGAATAAATTTTTAAATAAATTTTTCTGCCATGAGCCGGGATTCGAAACTGGGACCTTGAGTGACTGAAGCTTAGTGCCCTACCACTGAGCTAACCCACTCCCACTAGTTCTCAACTCGATACTTCATTATTGTGTAAGCACCTTTATATGGATTATACTATTAGAGTTTATTTTCTAGAAAGCTATTTTCCAATTTCTTTTTGTATTTTCGATAGCGCATGATCATATTGCGGGTTAAATTTTAACAGGAAAAAGTTAATTGAAATGGATAAGGCTATAATTGGTTTGAGAAAGATTACATTTGACATGGAAATGTTATATATAAGGTACAGTCGACTCTTGATAATTCAAAATACAAGGGACTACGAGAAAAATAAAAAATTATCAAGACGAAATAAAAAAAAAAAAAAAATTGAATTATTAAGTTTTTGTTATATTTTTAGGAAATATTAAATTAGATAAATTTTATATATTCAATAAGTAAAAAATATTACTAGGAAAATTTAGAATTATAAAGAGAGGAAGTGGTCTAGTTCAAATTATAAAAATGTTTTCTACCCCTCTTGTTATGAAAAGGATTTGAAGTTATCATGTGTATCAAAATACAGCATTTTTTTATATTTGCCGAAGATAACAGCTATATCCACTATAGACCATATTTCAAGCATAAGGATCATGCTGAAGAAATGCTATGAACATAATATTGATCTCCACCACCTCTTCATAGACTACAAGAAAGCATACTACAGTGTAGACCAAGGCAAAGGTGGGTATATCGGAAAAACTGGTACGATTAAGTGCATGCGACCTTGGAAGGGACACAAGGAAGAGTAAAAATACAAAGTGCGAGGTCCAGTAGCTTCCATATCAACAAAGGATTAAGACAAGGAGATTCCTTATCTCCCATCCTGTTCCACATTGTTTTGGAAATAGTGATAAGGGCCATTAGAACAAATCTGGAGGGAGTACCATCTATAATCGACTGACCCAGCATCTTGCCTTTGTGGATGATGTCATTACTGGTCGTACATGTGCATCTTTAACAGGAGCTTTCGTGGAATGTGAACTGGCCTCAAAAATAGCAGGAATCGACATTAATGAAACCAAGACTAAATATATGAAGACCTCCCGGGGTGATTGAGGGGCAAGGAATGGTCTTAGAACTGGAGAATACTTTATTGAGCAGGCACAGGAGTTTAAATATCTTGGGGCCTATGTAAACAAAAAGAATGACATTCAGGCAGAAATAAAGTCACGCATGATGGCCAGAAATAGATGTTGCTGGGCGCTCGGAAAAGTACTTAGGTCAAAGGTATTGTCCTGGCAGTTGCCGTATATGTCAGCGTTATTAGACCAGTGGTGAGACATGGGTCCTTACCAGGAAGTCAGAGCAAGTACTGAACGTAGTGTGGGAGAAGAAAGTGCTGAGAAGGAGTTTTGGCCCCTTGAGGTAGGGAGATCGGTGGAGGCAGAGGAACAATCAGGAGCTCCGTGATCTATACAAGGCCCTGGATATTGTCACCTGCATCACGAGTGGAATTAGGTGGCTGGGACATTTGCAGATGATGGAGGACAAATCCTACCCAAACTGCGGTGGCTAGAGGATGTGGAGGAGGACCTGAGGACACTTGGAGTCCAAAAGTAGAGAAGAGCGGCTTTGGACAGGGATGAATGGCAGGAGAATTGTGGAGGAGGCCAGGATTCTACAAGGGCCGTAGTGCCATCCAAATAAGAAGAAGATAACAGCTGAAGATTTTGAACTAATGAAAAATTTGAATCATCGAGAGATAACTGTATAATAACGAAAACTTAATATTTACTCTCTATATAGCTCCTAGTATTATTGTAACATTCTTGATTTATACATTACTAAAACCCCATGACATTTTAACCAGAAGCTGAAATTAAAATTTTATAAAGAAAGGAGATGGTCCCTTTCTTACTAATACAACGGTCAACTATTATGTATCCAATCTAAAATTTTATAATATGTTACACATGTCTCAAATCAAGCAAACTAGTTGTAGAACTAAGTTTTGTTTCCATTAACATAAAAAAAATATAGCAATGCAAAAATGACTTAAAAGTATAAAAGAAAGGAATTTTCAAAATATTTAATTTCCACAGATAAAATGAAAACAAAATTAAATAAGAAGGCAATTCAATAAATAAGAAATGTTATGAAAATACAATACTTTTTAAAGTTTATTGGTAACTAGATAATTTGAAATATAAATAATTTTAAGTCTTGATAACATTAAACATAAATTTTGTTAATAAGAGATAACAAATTAAATAAGCACCTTTTACAACAATAAAACATTTTTATAAAAAATAAATACTTTAACCATTACTATAATTTTAATTGTATAACTAATAATTAAATCTTAATTTTATGGAAGAAAACTTATATCTCAATCAAAAAATAAATAAATAAATTTAAAAACTTCACTTAACAAAAAATATAAGTTGAAATTAGTATAAAAATAAATAATTTTAAGTTTTTCCCTACCAATGGAGCCACTTTTGGCCAAGGAACAAAAAATTGACTAAGTTTACAAGTCTCTTAATAACTTCAAAAGTAATAGACAATAGAACATTTTAATCATGGTCCCAAAATAATAGCTCTCACTTAGAAATTAGGTTAAGGCTTCATCAGTATTACAAATCCAATTATCTAAAAACAACAAAGGCTTTCTAATAATACCATAATCAAATTAACCCATTAATACTTAAATGATAATTCACTATGATAATCTATGAAATACAAAATACTGTAAGCATTTGAACCGTATATATAAAAAAGTAATTAAGTAAAGAATTAAGCAGTATACATAATGTAAGCTGAAGTTAAATAATAATACATGTAAATAACATAAACATAATACATTATTCTCAACAAATAAAAAAGGTCTAATCCTAATTAAAGTCAATACAATTTAAAAATATATAATGGAATTGAATACATGATAATTAACACAATTATTTGTCATACCTCTTGTCTTTATACCAAAATATGCACTTGGATAATATAATACAGTTATTGAATCAAAAATTATAAAAAATGAAATGATGGTAACATAAAGATTTTTTTTGATTTACTCGAAAAATAATTACAAAATTGCAGTCTTGCAATGAAAATATTAAAATAATTTATTTCTTATATTATTAAAACTAATTCATTAGAATTTAACAGATATAACACATAATATTTAATATTCCTGTAAATACTGAATAATTATCAAATGTAACTTGTTTCAATAGCATATTAACAAAAGAAATGATTAATACTTGTGTGTTTTTAATAAGGTAGGAATTAAAAAAATACAATAATTGCACCAATCAGAATTGTAACAATTTAAATTATTATGAGTTTCCACTAGTAAAACATGACTAATGCAAAATGAAAAACTTAAAAAAGTTAACTAAGAAAGATTTACTAATTTCATTAAAACTTGTCGATACTATTTCATTAATATTGATAGTAATTGTATATGATAAAATACAAAATGAAAATAATTTAAGTTGGTTGTCTTTTTAGAAAGAAAACTAAAATAAAAATTTTTCTCTAAAATCATTTTAAATTTTTTTTTAAAAAAACCGTATCAAATTCAAGAATTAAAAAGTAATAATAATAAAACTCTAATTTATATATTGAAATCTAATCTAAATAGATTTAATTCGAAAATCCTTTGACTACCCTAAATTTCTAGAGTTGGAGCAGATTATGTTGAAAAAAAAAAATAGAAATTTTTTCACTAATAATGAAAAATTGGAAGTTTTATAATTAAAAATTAAGAGGATAAAAAGTATTCTAATTAACCTCACTAGAGTTACAATCTTTTGGTGTATCGATACTAAAACTAACTAGAAAAGTGACCTCCTTAGTCATCCTCTTGAGCGGTCGGCATGTTAGCAATAATAGACCTGACAACTGCAGCTGCAGCCAGGGATGCGTAGGGCTGCCACGGGCTGCGGCGAATACCATCCTTGTAGTCAGCTGCACCTCTTACAAGAGCCCACGATAGGGTTCTGTTTCCAACAATTGATTCTACGACACAATCCGATTCGAAATCGAGGGCAAGAAGTCCTGCTTTACGACAAAATTCTTCTCTTAATTTGGTATCACGGGAAACATCTCTTCCACTACCAATAGGACCTACATGCAGCCGAGGCTTTTCTTCATCCCTAAATCGAAGAAGATATAATATTAAATATTTACAAGAGACAATGGTATATTTTAAAAATAACATTTACTGAAAAGAAAAAATGATGAATTTAAATAGCGACCACTGTAAGGATTAAATTAATTCCAAATAACAGTATTTTATTAAAAGAATTTGTTAGGCATATAAAAACAAACACTGAAAGTAAAGCATCAAAGCAAAAAAAATTGAGTAGTAGATAGTACAATGGGATGTTTATTATAAAATTTAGTTGTATTATATGAAATGTATTTGGAAGTAAAGTTAATAATATTTAGTTATTATATGATTTGAGATGTTAAAAAAAGTAACGAGCTCTGCGTCCGGGTCGCCGGAGGGGATTTTAAAACATTATCCCCGCTTCACTCACCCCCCGGCCGGGAGAAAGATAAAAAATCCCGTAATAGCCTAGAAGGCGAGGTAGGAGGAAGAACACAAAAAAAAAAAAAAAAAAAAAAAAAAAAAAAAAAAAAATGGGACAATGACTTTTAAAACGTTAAAAAAAAAATTTTTCAACATTTTTGAATAGTCATTTAAGTGATATTTCTGGTAGGAAAATTTGTAACATCTATATAGAGAGTGAGTAAGTTGATTCCAGAGTAGGTGATTGCAGTGTTGAAATAAAGAAATATGTATAAAGGTATAAATTTTTCCACTAAAATTAATTATCAAAAATGTTGAAATTGGAGTTAAGTCATTTTGTCAACTGAAAGGATAATATATTTACTAATGGAGTAAAACGAGACAGCTTTATATTAAGTTCTTTCTGAAGGGAACGTGTAAGAAAAGGAGTATAATGTAAGGAGTAGTAATGTTTCCAACTGTCAGGCCGAATTATAACGAGAGATCTACCTGTATGCAGGTAAAGATGAGCGTGTGGACCACCATCAACAGATCAGCACAGGCGACTAGCCTTGCAAGATGAAAACAACTGTGCCTCTTGATATTTCACAACACCTGCACAGCTTTCAGCTCAGTTAAAGTTGAACAAACAAGCCTAGGAAAAGGATCTAGCATTCCATTTTTCTATTTTTTACACAAAGATTTTAATTTTTCATTTTATGTTTGTTGTCAACCATAATCCATTTATTGGGTTTAGATAGAATGGTATAAAAAACATCTCAAAACCAACAAAAGTAATTTATAATAAATGGTTTCAACCATCCTCAAGTAATTACAGTAGTCTTCTTCTTCACCCCATTCTTGTAATTAATTGATTCAGAGAGTAAAAAATTCTTCTGAACAACCAGTCTTTACATGACTTTTGGGATTTCATTTCTTTTTTAACTAATTGATAACAATAAATATGTAACCATGATCACATCACCTTGTGTTGAAGATGGTTAAACGTTACGGCCACACGGTGCTTATCGTCTGTACAGGTATGCCTATTATAGGTACGACATTAATTAAACAGAGCTGCTGCCATTGCTGTCATATGAGCAGAGCGATTACAGCTTGAGATTGTGAATGTTGAAAATAAATAAGATTAAAGGTTTTTTTATACTAATCTTAAAATGATAATAAATACCAAGAATCAGTAGCATCTAGTGGTTGTGGGTGTGCAACCTCAATCAGATCTTTTTCTCCAATGGGCATGTAAAGTTTATCAGTGTCTCCAGACGGTCTGATGAAGTCATGTTCGCTTTGAACACCGAGGTGGGATAAGCCTTCTTCCATAAAATGCAACCAGGAACTACCTCCAGATTTCTCATCCTGTTAGAAATTTTATAAACTTAACCAAATATATTTTTGATAATTTAATGATGATTTGATAACCACCAACAACTAGCATTAGGTATTACGTTATTGCATATCAAATCATCAACTCCAATTTTCTGTTCATGAAAAATAAAACAACCTACTGATAAAAGACAAATTGAAATGTTTCAAGCTATACCATCATATAGATACTTATTTTGATTTTACATCTGGACATAATAATAATAATAATGCGTTACAGAAATGAATTTGAGCAGCACAGGTCCCAAAACAAAAATAATGTTAGCATCTACTGAACGAAACACAACAGCTGGATTAGGTCACTAAAGAGGATTTGCCCTAACCATAAAGCATACAAATTACAACTTTTGCCAAACTAAGAAAAAAAATGAAGTTCACTCAATTTTAATCGTTAATTTCACACAATCTCTAATGCCTAGTCATTTAATAAAGTAACATTTTTGATATTTCAGACATACCATAATGATGAGCCTTACTTTCTTAAGCTACATTCTGAAGATCACTGATTAAAGATTGAAGTCATTTTATGATTGTACTTCATCGTCCTCAGCTAATATAAAGAGGAAAATTCTTAATTTTCATATAAATAACTATTAATTTATTATACTCTTTATCTACTACATGAATAATAATGCAAATTTGGGATAATAAGTTAAAAGAAAATTTAACACGCTATGCTGCGGTTTTTATTTTATTTTAATGTATTACTGCATACAAATCTGGAAGGATGAAGGTATAATTTAGTTTATATCTAATAACTAATTGCTTTTATATATGTCAGGAAATAAATTGGCCAAAGAAATAAAACCAGAAACCAAATTTTAATCAATCGTTTTATCTTTTTTTTTTTTTGAGTTATTAAAATTAGTCCAATTAGATACACATTGTTCCTTTAAATTTTGCAAATACAAAGGTAAATTACATTATTTCAATACTTTGTAAAAAAAAAAAAAAAAGAAATTTTAATTTAACAGTACATGTACCAGAAAAAATAACAGTATTTAAACAGAAATTAAAGGAGGAAAAATGCAAACCACAATAAACTAATATCATGTTTTACGATTTACCTACCTTTAACTCAATTAGTAAATAACATTGAAATGTATATATTGCAGTTTTTATTACTTTACTTTATTATTGTGGCAGTAATTTGATATGTATAAGGCAATTGAGTAATGTTTAATTGTTGCATATATTTGGGCATCAAGGTTAATAAATAAAGCATTTTTCACTGAAAAAGTATTAATTAATGCATCTATTATGTGTTTAGCTATCCTTATTATTTTTAATAACTAAATAAATATATTTTCTGCTAAAAAATAAATAAAAAAAAGATTAATTTTTTTACCAATTATACTTGTTTCATACAAGAGAAAATAATGTTTTTATTTATTTACCTCAATAACTCGATATTTATTATACTATTGAAACTTTGAAAATGATTATTTTGTAATTAATAGATTTTAATGTCATTATAACATTAAATTTATACAGAAAAAAATTAGCAAGTTTGGTTGGTTTTTTTTTATTGTATATGAATAGTCTCCGCTAAAGATTATTTAATAAATAAACCACACTGACCTGCTCTTTCATCTTTCTTGCAACTTCTTGGATGATGTCATTAATAGGGTTATACTTCTTAATTTCAAAATTATATGAACCATCTTTTTCTATATTTGCTTTCTCACAATAAGTGTAGGCAAACCTTAAATAAAAATTAATGTTTAGAGAGCGAAAATCCAAACAGAAAACAGATGATTATAAAAACTAAGGGACCTTACCCGCTGGGAGAGTCAGGAGCAGAAACAACCACATCTCCAAGCCTGACGTGCCTGGAGTAATCAGTGTAATGAGGAACACCGCCTCCGACGCCAACAACAAAAACATTATCGACCATTTGGAAAGTACCTATGTAAATTAAAAATTGTAATAATAACAAGCAATTACAATCTATTTATAAATAAACTTATGAAACCAATCAGACAAAACAAACCTAACAGCCTGGTAGTAGTATTTCCAGCAGATGTAATGGCTTCACGAGTGTATCCTAACGTGGGCAGTTTGGTACATACCACTCTATGATGTCCAATGTTTCCAAGAGTATACACATTTGATTCACCTATATTAATATAGATATGTTAATATAAAATATATTATAATTTTACGTCATTGGTCTAAACTTATCATTAATGAACAATAAAAGATAATTTTCATACATAAATAAATCGTAAGGATCTAATCTATATACCATTAGACAAAATTAACAATCATCCATCATTTGTAAAGAGACTATTCTAATAACTAATTCATTCCAACATTTGAGAATTAAAAAAACATTATAAACAAAAATATTGAGGTAATTATTAAAGAAAATGGTTTAAAAATCAATAAACTTAATTTTATTTGTTGAAACTATTTCATTGACTGTTCTTTGAAGGTATATGCCCTATCTGGCAAACCAAAAGTCATAAACATAGAAAAGACAGCAAGCCTGCTAAAATCTAGTATAAGTTAAAAGAATGCACATAAAGGCATGAACTAACATCTCGTTATATTAATATCACATGGAATGTCAATTTTTTTGGAGGGAGGTTGATACAAATAAAATGTGAATAAATATTATAAACAATTAATAGAAATAACTAATAATAAACAATTAAGATGAAACTTTAATTTAAAAATGTAAACATGGGTCACTTTTTCTACATTATCAGTGATGATTCATTTTCAAACAGACCAAGAAAACTTCAGACGCATTAAAACTAAAGTTGTTCAGAATTTCTATTGAGTCTCGAGACCTCATACTATTTTCTAAAAATTAAGAGTATTTACAGATGGTTACACAATAAGAAATGCCTTCCAAAATTTATTTTCTTTTAGACAAAGTAAATGAACTAACTGGGCCAAGAAGTTTATTATAATTCATAGTTACGTCACATTTATTCATGTTTCTTAAAAGTTGTCCCAAAAATTAACATTTCATGTGAATCAACCACAAAGTTCAGATGCAGGCATTCAGCTACTCAACAATTCATTACAACTTTTAATATAAATTATAAAAATATTTAAAGAAGATTTATTTGAATGAAAGTAAAGATTTTTAATTTTTTATTGAAACATTTTAATTTTTTAAATAAAAAATGAGGGCTTTGTGATTTTGGGTGTTATTGTTGGAGACATTAGTGAGCAGCACACCTGCTGTTACTGACCTGGACAGGTGGGCACCTCACCTGGCATTAAACGTCAGGTGGGGAATTAATCACCTTGAGCAGCCTGTGTTAAACAGTACTATAAAAAACCTATTTAGAATAGATAAACGATCACCAGTAACTACGATATTTTGAAGAATCCATCAAAATCAATATTTACGATGTGTCGCATATCCTGAATCAAGGGTGCAAAATTCAAATAATTTTTTTTTGTTATAAACAATAGACACAGACTGTTTACATAAAAGCTGCTAAGGTGTTTCCTCTAATACATGCTGCTGATAGACCATCAATTGTCTACCAGTTTGGTTTGTTAAATTATTTTTTAGAAATATTAAATTAAATTTTGATTAAGTAATCTACTTTACGTAACATATAATATTTTGTAAAATATATTCCTGAAGGAGCACTGTGTGAAGGATATAAATGTAATAACCTTTCAGTATGTTTTAATTTTTAAAAATGATACAAGCTTTAACATAAATAGAACATTATTCTGTGAGACGATAAAATTTTTTTTTACAATACCAACATTTACATGGCATAGTTTACCAGGCCATACAGATAACAGATATTTTCTGCTGAGTTTTCGGTTTAATTTTTCTTTATTCAAATGAAGTATTTCCGGTTTAAGTTAAAAGCAGATATATGAACATGAAGTTTTATAAATTATCGTAACAACCGAAAAAAGAGAAGGAAGTTAATGAGGTCAAACTGTAACTGATATAAACAAAGACAAAACTTTCAACTTAAAACCTTATAGTGGCTAATTAATAAATATTTTCTTTAGCCACAATTTTAGTTTTTGACAAAAAATGTCAAACTGAACCCAACTTACAACTGTACTGACTGGTACCAGTACAGGTGGTCAATCCGGCAAATGGTCCTTTTAACTTATTACATAGAAATTATTAAAGTTAATTAAAAATTACAAGCCAAAAGTTTTTTTTCCAGTTATGGTAAGATTTATTGGACTAAAGTAAAATAAATATCATACATAATAAAAAAAAATTAAGATTTTTTTTTTTTAGTAATCCATCCAAACTTTGATAGGAGTAATATTATTAAAAATAAAGTGTAATAAAATGCTAAAGTAAATATTTTTTGTTGCTAACTTTTCCTACAAATTTATTTATTTTTATGAGATAAATATTTTTTTTGGCTGAAAACTTTTTGAACAGACTAATGTGTTGAGAAAAAAAATCAAATATTTTCACATGCATTATAAGCATTGAACCTGTATCATTAATCTTTTCCATATCATTCCTAAATATAATTTAAATTTAAAATATTAATCCTAGAAAAAAATAATAATTCTGCAATAAAAGTTAAGGTCATTGATCCTGAAATTAAAAGAAAAATAGAGCAAAATAGTATAAATCTAATTACACGAATCTGCTACACATAAGTAATAATTAACATAGATCAATTACAAGTATAAATGCAAACACATAAATAAGCAAGTGCAAGAACATTTTTAAAAACACAAAAATATAAATAAAGCTTCGGCAACAAAAATATACAACAATAAAAGCCTTATTGCTAGCTATTGACAAAGCATAGACCACACATTGCAAGAAAACAATGAATATTATTTTTAAAATTTAGTGAATAAGAGGGTTTAAATGTTATATGAAATAATATTAAATGTCTGTAATGTATTTCGTTTCAGAATAAAAATAAAACTTCAGTCAGTCAATCTACTTAAAATAAAAAAAGCGATCATGTTTGATCTTTTAAACTTCTTTGTTTAAAATGAAACTAGATGCTATATGAATCTGATGGGAGATGAAACATTCAAGCAAACATAAACAAAAACAAACAGGAAGCAGTGTTTTTTTTTTCTTTAAGAGAGCACTGCTTACCAAACCGTGTTCCCTTTACTACAGTTGATGTCGGAGTTGGGAATGTACCGTTGTTCGTTTGATTCGTTCCTGCAAAAGACTCCAGTTTCGCATTTTCTTGTCATTTAGAATTTCTTAAAATTACAAAACTCCATCCAAGAAGATAAGTGTTCAATGCTACACTACATCATTTATGGTGGAACTAGTATGTAAGCACAAAATAGAAAGTAAAGAATTATAGCTATTTCCTACTACTTATTGATTATTGTTTTTTTTTTTGTTTTGTTTTTTATAAAAAGAAAATATGACAAAGAAAGGTTATATTAGAAATTTATGAATATTTAAAGAAGTTTTCATTCTGTTATGACCTATTAAAGAAAAACAATAAAGCAACTGAAAGAGGGAGGGGAGAAATAAGAAAGGAGATAAATGCAGTTTTTTGTTAGTTAATAGTTTCAAACTATATTTTAAAATTCCATGGTACAAAACATGCTCAAGATTATACGTTATTCATTTTAAAATAATTAGATGGTTACTTCATTATAAATAGTTGTACCAAGTGAACAGTTTGACTTAAAATAATAATATATTAAAAAAAAGAAATAATAAACATGATTTTTCCTCTATAAGTCATCAGGATGCCTAGGGGTTCATGATTAAGATATATAAAAACTACCTGATTCTGTCATAAAATCTGTTACATGGAGATAATTTGTAAAATCGAATACATATTGACAGTGAAATTAATGTACATAACATGTCTAACATACAAATGATTAAATGAAAATTAAATTATTAAAATGGCTACCTCTGGCCTGTACACAGACTTGTAACCAAACTAAAACAGCAAACTAACTCCCTTATTTCATATAGAAGTAAGAATAAAGATTTATAAAATATTCTTTATTCCAAAAGTTACACAATTAAAGCTGTTTCTGTCGTTTAAAATCATACTAGGTAAATGACGCCCCCCATTGTCAATACACTGATTCAACTGAATGCTGTTGTTTCTTCCTGAATGAGTATGTGGGCAATTGGTAAGGACAGCGGATTTAATAAAAAAACACAAAATGAAGTAAAAAGGAGTTAAATCAGGTGAACATGGTAGGCTACACAGCTACACCAAATGCCCCTCAGTGAGATGAGGCATCCTGTGAAGTGATTTCACAACAGCCTGTGTTGAAAAGATGTTTACAATACATCGAACAACGTAGGGATTGCAAAAATGACATTCTTACTGCTTTGGTGTTCTCAGGTGATATGATGGGACGTGCAGCTCCAATTCTTTTTTTCTGCACAGAACCAGTTTCCATGAATGTTATAATCCACAAAAGAATTGATTTCCCGGCCGGGACAGGACCCAATGGTGCAATTTTGGAAGGTGTGTTAGGTTGAAACCACCGAACAGCTATTGGAAAAATAGACTTATATGGTAAATGCAAGCTGCTCATTACTGTAACACATGATGGTGAATTCTTGCTCTGTGACACTTTGATTCATTTTTATGGACATGAAATAAAAACTAAACTTGGGAATTTCCAGAAAGATATTCTGAAGCACGTGGTGAAGTCTCTAAGCAGTAATCTGCTGGAAAACATTGGATTTTCAAGCAAGATTAAGCTCCTATACAAAAGGCGAGATCAAATCATCAGAAAAATACATCATTCTTGAGTTAATTCAGTTTCAGAAAGTCCAGATTTCAACCTTCGGAATTTTGAACAATGGACGTCAGGTTTAAATGGCTTTTTATAGAGAACACACTGCTCTGGAAAAGCTGAGAAATGCCAAGGTGAAAGCAGTAAGCAATTATCCTCAAACTAATGTATACACAAGCCAAAAGTGATCATTTAGAACTGTTTTAATTCACTTTAATCATATACTAGTGAATGTGTTTTATAAAAAAAATTTCACTGTCAAAATTCAATATTTTCTTCTACTTCTTTCACCTTCAAGTTTAAGCTGCTTAAAACCTCTAAAATAAATATCTATTAATAGTCAATAAAATAAGTGCCAGGTTCATGAGGTTAAATAAGTAGGCACTAAAATAAAAAATACAATACTGCAAAGCAAAATTTAGGTGATGTTGTTTATAGATTTTTTAATATAAAATGAATGAAAAATTGATAACATATTTTTAAGCCTCATCAATGCGAATTCGTATGTATTTATTTTTTATTATTAATCCATTTTTCGTTTGCAAAAATGATAATAATCAAATTATTACTTAAGAGAAGATAATATCGACTACGTTACAAAACTATTAAAGATAATTATAATCAATAAATAAACAATAATTTTTCTGATGTTTATTTATAAAAATGAAAGGAACAAATAGAAGTAAATATCTGCTAAAAGGTGAATAAGTAGTTAATTTGAACTAGCTCACAACTGTCATAAAAGTTGATTTAGCATGGCAAAATACAAACACAAATTGAGAGAAGATACTGCAATGTGAAATGCTTACATACATATTTATCCATCCAACAGCTGATCCGTAGAAGGTTATTAATTTTATTAGCTTCTTTGAAAAGTTGAAATTTAGACTAACGACTTATTCATCAGAGATTCAGACACTCTTTTAGACTCACAGTGAGACCATGAATTATTAATTATAAAATGAACATTCAATTTTAAATTTTTATGTATTTTCAAAAACACTATAATATGTATTAACTGCTAATAACTTACCGACAGTAGTATATCTTACGAATGTTTCTTTATTTTCTAACATGGAATCCACTGCCAACTTTTCACAATACTGAGCTGTAATTATAGCTATTGTAGGCTGCTTTGACCGGATTATTGTGGGCATTTGCTTCACTATCTACAATTAGATCAGTAATTTTAATCAATGGAATTAAATCACAACAAATGACTAGAAGGAATAAGCAGTTACACAGTTGATATAAATCTAGAGAAAAAAAAAAGATTCCTGACTTATCCTGGTCAAATTTTAGGTTTTCCAGGTTGGCAACATAATTAAAATTTAACTAGCAAGCATAGGGGAGAGAAAAATACAAAAAACTCAGTTTGAATTTAATTTTTCTTCATTGAAAAATAGAGATTACAAAGTACGTTTAAGAAATAAAATTTTTGTCATGCAGAAATACTTTTTATTGTTGATAACATTATAGTTATCACAATTATATACATATATATATATATTTTTTTTTTGGTAGGCGCTATAGACCGTGCAGATCTTTGACTGCGAGATGTGGTCTCCTAGACCACATCCCGATTCCTGATTTAAGTACACGGGGGTTGGGACATCACTGCAATCTCCTTCACACCGACTTTCTCGGGTTCAAGGACAGTGACAAATCGATTATGGCAGCTTGGAGTCAGCAGGCGCACGAGGACCTACATTTCTTTCCCCTAAACAGACCGTCCATGGACCGAACATCAGGGGGCTATTAACATCCTGGTAAACCACATCCCGATTCCCGATTCAAGTATACGACACGGGGTAGGGTCATCATTCCTACGCCCGGTCGGTGTGAGTTGCCTCCAGTAGGATGGCTCACATACCCGCTGGGGAGGGAGAGAGACTCGGGCTACATGGCTTTCCCTGGTGGACGGTCACTGAAATCGGGCAGTCACCCATCCAATTACTAACCACGCTCGACGTTGCTTAACTTTGGTTACCTATTGCAAGCGCCTTAGCCTGTACGGCTACCCCAGCCCCCAGAATTTTCTGAAAGTAATACCACTGGTTAGAATATTGAGAAAAGAACTGTAAACAGGGATTCAATTGTCCATAAATTTAGAAAAACATTTATTGTGCCTTTCGCTTTTTTAAGGAAATAATTTCATTATATTGTCATTTTACAATAGTTACAACCAAACGATTAAATTAATAACAATTTATATACCACATTTGAGAGATATTACAGTCAAATTTCTAGTTTTTCAAACAATTTCCGGTTTTCCAAACTAACTTGAAATTCCTTGACTTTTCACAATAATTCTGGAATGCTCAGGTCTGTAAAAACTCTGAGTTACATCTTGTATTTTATTTGTAAAATTTACTTATTTTCTTTACTTTAAAAAATAAATGGAAAAAACTGTATATTTATGCTTGAGGTGAAGAGATGTACTTATACAAAATTAAAAATTCTTGAAACTAAAAAATACTTCGCCATGAAAATAAAAGTATTGAGTGGTGAAGTAGATTTTAGTCTCAAGAACTTGTAAATAATTAATTAAACAGTACTTCATTAGTCATGATAAAAAATTTTACTAAGCCATGAACAGAATAATACCCAATCACTGATTTAAACAACAGAAGGAACTATAGCAAATTATTGATAGTTTTTATAATAACCTTACCTGGATATCTTTCTCATGTTGAATAATACGAGTAAATGCGCCGTGATCCATTGCTTTTACTAAACCTTTTTCCTTCAAGCTTTCCACGTGTTTCTGTACAAGTGCTTCATCCCATCCATGATCTCTAATAAAATAATATGCAATATTGATAAATAATGATTATACCTAGAGGTATTATGACAACCACACCATGGAAAACCAGATTTATTTCTACTGCCCCCTGAGATTTAGTCTTGGAGGGAGTATATCCAGCCTTAAGATAAAATAATTTCAAAGCGAAAAGTAGTTCTTTTTAATAAAAAAAATTTCTTTTTGATACATTTCTTTAGAGTCAAATCTGAAATATTTTTTGTATAAAGAAAAAGCCACATACAACAAAAAATGCAGTTTAAATCAGCATAGCAGATTAACATACTAAATAATGATAATAAATATATGAGTGGCTTCGTAACAAATATGAACCTCTGTCATCTTCAGAATGCGGAGAAAAAGTCAATTTTAGTTTTATAAATTCAACTCAAACTGTTTCTGATGATTTTTTTTTAAAGAATATTCAATTTCAATCACGGAAAAAATCAGTAGAATTGGTAAAACTGAAGCTGTGGTATAGAAAATTGGATATTTCTCAACTTTTAAAAATTACAGATCATTCGTCTTTGATATTAAGTCATTCATATATTGTTTTTATTTAACAAATGTAATGATAAATAAACTTTGACAGTTGAATATCGCTACTGTTAATACAAAAGCTCGCATGTAAAAATAAGTTTGATTTATAATAAAAACTAATTATTTCTCTATGATTTATTAGTATAATTATATAGTTTATTTCTCTCTGCTATTTTGTACATTATGAACTATATTAAAAAATGTCACATTTAGCACAAATAGAATAAACATCGAAAATTGTTACATATGACCTTTTACACTAATAGTAGCAATATAAACAATATATAATAGCTAATGGATTGGTAGAAAACTTATTAAATAAGATTTAGAAAATGAGACAAAGCTCGTGTGTTTATATGAGAAAATAAATCAACTTACTTAGCTAAATCTTCAATTGTTACGGGATGAGGATAGGCTGCTTCAATGAGTTCCAAAATCTTTTTTTCTGTCAACGGCACCTCTTTTGATAAGATGCTGTCATCCGTCGACACTATTAAAACATTATATATTAAAACAAAACTAATTATTTTCCTCCTTTATGCTGAAGTAACTAAGTTACAAACTTCGTTAGTTAATATAAACTGAATAGTAGAATTATCAGGCAACTTAAAAAATATTTAAAAAAAACATGAGTATCAGAAGACATAGGGTGTTATTTAACACACAAACATATTATAAATCATAATATTATAATTTTTAGAACACAAATTTAACTACCTATTTGCCAATCAATGTTTTCTTATTGAACAAATATGACCTTATTGAACAAATATGACCATATTTAGAATCACCTGCTCCACACACAAAAATAAATTACTAAACTTTTTAAATTAAAATTTCAAAATAAATTGGTCCACCTTTGGCAGCCTATTGAAAACAAATACAACTTTTGACAATGTTCATTAGGCTATAAAAAGACTAGATCATTTTGCAAATGAATTATGATATTCACGGTCAAACAATACATGATCAAGTCTCATAAAATCACTATTACTTGTAACACTTAGGCCATGGAATTAACTAAAGTATAAAATTTATTAGTGTACTATCAAAAATCAAAAATATGTGAAAAGCAGAAAACACGGTTTATTGAAAAAAGTATCCATACAAATGTTCAGTAAGCATTGGATAAGTAACAAAACAAAAAAAGCTTTGAGAATGGAAAACCAATTCATGGTTTCTTCAACAGCATAAATAACAATCCAATCCACTCTGATCTGTTTGAGATAGAGATCTTGAACTTTCTTTGGTTTTTTTATTCTATTCCTTAATTCTATTCAGTAAAAGCTGCAAAAGAAAATAGCAATGCCATCAAGCTGATTTACAGAGCTTACAGATTTTTTTCTTCTTTCACATCACCCATTTAGTTCCTCTCTGCATATGAGAGAATTTAGTCAAGACCGCTACTATCACGCATATTAAGAAATATTATTAAGCATAAAAATTCAATTTCTCAGGTATGCTTAAGATAAAAGTGGTAAGGTACAGCTGTCATGTTAATTAATGGTGTGTTAAATGCTGACTGTATTGGTAAGAGTTGACAAAGAGGTCGGAATTGAAGTCATATCTAGTACCTTAATCAACTCTGCCTATAACAGCAGCTCCTCCTACGACAAAAATATGTGAATGACATTCAGATGCCCATAAAAGCTGCCTTTGCAAGTCCTGGGAATGCTCTTTAATTTTCCGAGTAGAAGTATAGGGATCCTACCAGCTTTGCTTCTGCACCACAGTAGGATAGATCTAGAAAGCTACTCCTTACTATGGCGCTTCCAACACACGACTGATATGTATTTAATCAGCCAACCTCAAGCAGCCCAATGGCCAAGAACCAATCTAGAATGGTTACTGCCCTTGGGCGAGCTTCTATGGTTTCTCTATCCCGAGGTAGTGCTAAGGAAATTCTTCTATAACAGAAGAGGTCCGACTCCGTACCATATCGTAATGCCAACCGGCAGAGTTAAAACTCATTTCATGTCAGAACCAAAGAATATACTTTCCAACTTTAGTCCCTTGACTTTCTCAATATAAGTTAAGACATTTTTCTTTCCTTAGAAAATAGAAATGAAATCGTCACCTATGTAATTGTTTAAGTTATTCAGTTGTTCAAGCAATGAATTGTTTGGTTTTAGATATTATAAATTAAATTATTCTATTTGTGACAATAGTTTTTCTTGTTTGTGGAGCAAGTTCAACCATAAATGGTCACCATCATATTAAAGTAACGAACATGTAAAATTGCGTTTTTAGAATTTATTACTTTTATTATCAGAAACGTTAATGCAAAATAAAATCTGAGAATTAGAGGAATAAAAAGGTCTTAAGATAAGAAAAAAATATTCATGAAGGAGAACTTGAATAAAACATTGATTTATGTTTAGGTCTCATGAAAAAAGCTTATAGTAACATCACAATTGTTACTTAAACATGGTGATGATAATATAAAGCAACGTTAATCATAGGGGAAATTTTACTTTGTAATTGATTAAAATTAAAGAATCTTCAGAAATATGTGTTATCTCATACAATGTTGGCAAGTAAGTAACTTTCATAAATAGAGAAGCTTTCATAACTTATTGTCTACTGTGCATTTCTTTTTATAAGAATTTGATATGAATAATCAATCAAGAGAAGAAAAATTAGATCTTCAAAAACTATTATGTGAACATACTGACATGCACGTCTACTATCAATATTAATATTTATTTTTTAAAGAAATTAAATACACTATTAACTCTTTTGAACTATTTTAATAAATAAGCCAAATGAATGAATACAGAAGTGGTCTCAAAGGTTGTATTTATTTACTTTTTTATTACAAAATGCCTTCCTTATTTATATATCTCTTCCTACTCAATATTAAAAAAAAAAAAAAATGAAATCTTCTCTTTCAAAAATAATTTATACAAAATAAATAGCAAACTACTCGCTGTAGCGTCCACATGCATATTAATAAAAACCTTTAAGACATTAAACAATTTATTAGGTGGAGAGGCAATATTGTCATATGTTATGCACACAGCTAAATAAAATATATATTATACTTCCAACCTGACAGCGATCTGTCATATGTCTTCAAATCTATGAGCACGTATTTCGGCCTTGCTATAATAACATAAAACTTAGCTTTTTCATTGCATCAAACCATTAGCATTTGGTTTCTAACTGAATATCTATTTCAATTAAATTTTTTCACACTCAACTTATCCTAATTTATTGAATACTTAATAAATTTAAACTTTCTACTAAAATGACAAAGAAATATTAAATACAATTATTAATTATTAATCACTTAGGTAGAAAAAATGCAATTACATATGAGCAATTGATAAATGACATTAAAAATTTTATGATAATAAAAGTCAAACATAAAAGTATTTTTGCTATTTTTAAAAAAAAAAATTCATGCCCAAAATTGGCATTATATTCCTTCCTAAGATGTTATAAAAAGTATATGGAAATATTGAACTTAATTTAATTGATAATATCATAATCCTTATATACAGAATAATACAACAGACAAATTATTTAAGTTAGAAGTATTCCATTTGAGATTGGCCAAGCTAATTATTTAATCGAATCTCTTATTTCAGAACAAAACATATCTGACATTTTCATGTTTTTGAAAAGCATGAAATAAACTATTTTATACTTAAATTTTCAATGATGAAAGTTCACAAAAAAATATATAACGTAAAACAATTGATCTTTACATTATTTATGCAATGTATTATCTTGTATTAAAAAATGAATCTATGAACAATATACCAAGAACAAGTCTAAACTCAAAACTAGTAAAAATTAATTACACACATATGGTTTCTGAAGCAACAGATTCAATTAAAGATTAGGAATGAGTAATTTGTGAGTATATGTTAATTATTTAATAGAACCAGAATAATGCTTTTTACTTGATAAAACATCTTCTTTTAGGTTTGATATACATTGTTCCTTTGGTAATAATCTTAATAAAAATATAAAATGACACGGTGCTTGATCCGAAATGAAACAATAAGTACTGTGAACTTGACACAGAATATTAATTTTTGTCAAGTTTATTCCAACTATTTTCTCTCAGTTTTAGAACGCCCTTTATTACCATGGCGATGTAGATATCCTTACTGATAATACTAGAAATGTTCTTTATAAGCGCTTTTATAATTGTATTCTTTGGAGTCAATTAAAATTACTCAAAATCAGAAATTAGATGAGAATAGAACATCAGATTGCCATGATAAACTCTATGAATAATCAATCATTAATGGTACAACAAACACTTACATGGCCTGACTGGCAACTCCCTTGGCATTCCCAATTGCCGAAGTTCAACTTCTATTTTACGTATAGTTGGATAAACATTTTGCATTAGTTTCATGATGACTTTTATGAATCCCACATAATCTGCAATATAAAATGTTCAATTAAAAACTAAAACATTTATACTACCATCCTATGATGGTGCTTTAATACCTATTACTTTAAAAATGTTGCTCCTATTCGACCAGTAGGCCAAGATCTCATAATCGCTTTGTAAGAGAATGGTGGAATGTTGATTGGTTCATTGTATTTACTACCTTCATTTAGTTCATGATTTACGACAATATCAATAAATTTCAGATTTTACATCTTTAAAAGAAATAAACAAAGACAAACTCCCCAAACATTTTTATTTTTTTATCTTCTAGTCTAATTTATTTACAGGTATCAGGTGTGTGCTATCTTGTGTATATTATAGGTCCCTAAATGCATGCTAATTTTCACGTGAATAAGTGGAGCCATGTCAAAGTTAATACAACTTTTTTGGTTTTCGGAAATAAATAAGGAATGATTTTTCGATTGGTATAAAAATTCGTTCTCGCGTTCGTTCGTCCTCGCGCGGGCTCATTACCGCGTATGGGGAGCGTCCCACGGGTGGCGGATGTGGGGATGGTCGGTGGAAATTTCTTGGAAGTTCCTCCCGGCTAAGTCCGATGGACTCGCTGACCAACAATGAGAGGGGCCCTCCAGACTTGCTGGAGGGAGGGGACCTCCAGACTTGCTGGAGGTAGGGGCCCACCAGACTTGCTGGAGGGTGTGACGTAGGATTGAACGCCCTACTCACATATCTTTAGTTCACCAAACACCACAAAAAGTCATGGATCTTCCTAAGGTAAAACGCTCATTATCCGGAAGTAAACTAGTCCCCCGTTCGGGTCTCCGGGTGGGGACTGCTTTAGGGGATTCATGGCGCAAGTTGAAATATAGGGATTTAAATATTGGTACGTGGAACGTAAGGAGTTTTAAACACAGCAGGGGGGCTAAAATCGGTCGCGAATGAGGTAAATGGGTACAATTTGGATGTCGTGGCTCTGCAAGAGGTTCGCTGGCCAGGGGAGGGCTCGATGAGGGAAGGGAAGTACACTATTTGGTACGGAGGAAGCGAGAAACATTGTTTAGGTACCGGGTTTCTAATTAGGCGTAGATTACTATCCGCTTTGAGGGACGTACAATTCTTTAGTGATAGAATTTCGGTAGCTACATTTCAGGGACGTTGGTTTAAAATCGCATTAATAAACATACATTGTCCGACCGAAGACAGTGACGATGAAGTCAAAAGTGAATTTTACGATAAACTCGAATGGGTTTATGATAAACTACCACGAAACTACATGAAAATAATTGTAGGTGACGCGAACGCAAAGGTAGGAAGGGAAGAAGTTTATATTCCGACGATTGGTAAAGAAAGTTTGCACGAATATAGTAATGATAATGGGATCCGTCTGATAAACTTTGCCATCTCGAAAAACCTGATAATTAAAAGTACGACGTTTAAACATAAGGATATTCATAAATATACTTGGACATCACCGGATTCGCAAACACGAAATCAAATCGATCATGTCTTGATACAACACAGCTGGCAAAGTAGTATAATTAATGTACGGTCTTATCGCGGAGCAGAATGTGGGTCGGATCATGAATTAGTAATCGCGAAACTTCGACAAAAACTTAATATAAAAAAGAGAAAAGAAAACCGTTTCGATTTTGAGAATTTTAATTTGGAAAAATTAAAAAATCCATCAATTAGAAACCAATTCGAGCTAGATGTTAAGAATAGGTTTGAAGCTTTAGAGCTTCCTGACGAGGACCACGAGGATATTGACAAGTTATGGATAGAGATCAGAGATAATATTAAAGCGGTCGGTAACTCGTGTCTAGGAAAAAAGGAAAATAAGAATAACAAACCGTGGTTTGATGAAGATTGCTTAAACATGTGTGAAAAAAGAAAAGCCGCTAAATTAAAAGCTCTAAATAATCCTAGCGAAGACAATCTGGAATACTTCCGAATCTCAAAGAACGAAACGACAAAATTGCTCAAAAATAAAAAAAGGGAGTATCTTAAAAATAAAATAATTGAAATAGAAACTAATCGAATCGAAAATAACGTAAGAGACATGTACAAAGGTATAAACAGATCACGTAAATATGTAGGGCCCGTAACGTCTGGAATTAGGGATGATAATAACAATATTCTGACCGATCCGGTTGACATATTGAATAAGTTTAAGGACCACTTTGACAATATTTTAAATACGGGAAATTATGATCTGTGTCCTCCTTCTGAGTACCAGAGTGCTGAACCGTTAATAGAAGGACCAACTAAAGAGGAAGTTGAAGTAGCTATCGGAAAATTAAAATCATATAAAGCAGCGGGAATCGATAATATTCCTACTGAACTAATTAAGGCATGCGGAGAAGCTGGAGTTTCTAAAATACATGGGTTGGTTAAAAAGATCTGGGTGAACGAGAAATTACCTGAAGAATGGAAAGAATCTATTCTTATTCCGATTCACAAAAAGGGTCCGAGGACGGATTGTAATAACTATCGAGGAATTTCACTCCTTCCGGTATGTTATAAAATATTCACTTTAATCTTAACCAGTCGAATCACGGAATACGCCGAGGAAATTATCGGAGACTACCAATGCGGATTTAGACGGAATCGTTCGACTATTGATCAAATATTTTCTTTACGGCAAATATAAGAGAAAAAATTGGAGTATAACGGTATTGTTCACCAGCTGTATATAGATTTTAAAAAGGCTTACGATTCTATTGACCACCAGAAATTGTATAATATTCTAATCGAGCAGGGGATTCCAAAAAAACTAGTAAATCTAGTCAGGATGTGCTTGACGGAGACACTCAATAAAGTTAGAATCGGTAATAATTTGTCCGAAAAATTTGAGGTTCGTTCGGGCTTAAAACAGGGTGATTCTCTTTCGCCTGTCCTGTTCAATTTGGCATTAGAACATGCCATTAGGGAGGTAATGCGAACCGAGAAAGGGTTGGATCTGGGCGGGACAACATCCGTGCTGGGCTATGCTGATGATCTGGTACTGTTAAGCGAAGACGTTGAAACTATAAAACTGAATACGACAACGTTAATGAAAGCCGGGAAAGAACTAGGACTCGAAATAAACGTGGATAAAACAAAATATATGGTTAGCTGCAAAAAAGGCGATACTACTGGTGGTATCGATATAGATGGTAATATGTTTGAACAGGTAGATAAATTTAGGTATCTAGGTTCTACGATAACTAGAAAAAACGAAATTGAAGAAGAGATTAAGGTTAGACTGAAGGCGGGGAACGCTTGTTATTTTTCTGTGACAAAACTACTTAGTTCGCGCCTCTTGTCCCGAAACTTAAAAATTAGAATCTATAAAACAATTATCTTACCTACAGTTCTTTATGGATGCGAAACTTGGCCGCTTACATTAAGGGATGAGCAGCGTCTTAAGGTTTTTGAAAATAAAGTATTGCGTAGAATATTCGGACCGAAAAAGGATGAGTTAACCGGAGAGTTCAGACGGTTACACAACGCCGAATTGCGTGAGATGTATCCGGGTAATATAATTGAGGTAATTTCATCGCGGCGAATCAAATGGGCTTGTAAAGTTGTTGGGCTTAGTAACGAGAGAATTCCTAAAAGGTTAATATTTGCTGTGCCGAATGGTAAGCGTCCGAGGGGTAGAACGAAGCGAAGATGGGAGGATTGCATTAAAGCCGATCTGAAGGGACTGGGTTTGGACGGCGAACGGTGGAGGGAGGTGTGTAACAAGCGATTGGTGGTGTCGGCATCGAACCTTCGGGTTCGCTAAGCCTTATTATTATTATTATTATTATTATAAAAATTCGTATTACAGGATTTTTCGAGGTGCGAAATGCAAATCTCAACTTTGTTACTCCTTAAAAAATATTTAAATCTACTTTACATATTAGATCAGAACTAATTATTTCAATATTGTACTCATTCAATAGCTATATGCCAAATATATATTTTTTTCTAAACCGGACGGGAATCAAATGTAAGATTGCATTCACGAAATCTGGTATGTTATCGATATTCGATCTGAAAATAATATTAAAGCATGTATTGTACATATTATATTATGAAATATATTTTTTTGTAGTAAAAAAAGATGATATTAGTTTATAGCACCTCTAAGAACCCTTAAAAAAGAATTTTTGTAGTAATAAAAAAATGTAAATGATTTGCTCAATATTCTGGCTTCTATTAAATAGCTCTTATGAGATCCATCTATGTTTATAGCATTATAGTAGACATTACAACTGTAAAATATTTATAATATTGAGAAAATTTTTATTTGAATTGAAAAACAACTGAATTTGACTTTACTAATAGCTACTACAAAGCTATAAACATAGATGGAGAAAAAAAAATTACTTCTATATTTTCCGAAAATCACAAAAGTTGTGATTACTTCGACATGGCTCCACTACACTATACACGGAACGGCACACACCAGATGCCTGGAAGTAAATTAGGCTTGAAGATAAAAAATAAAAACGTTTGGGGAGATTTTCTCAATTTACTCCTTATAAAGGCGTACAATCTGAAAGTCATTCATATTGCTTTGAAGAGCAATATTCAGCTTTCTGATGGTTATAGTAACTTTGACTTAGGAGAAATTGCTATATGTGTCGTGATTATTTTAGTAAACAGTATGAAAAAAAATACTCCCAGAAAATTAAGTCCAACAATTTTAATTTTTTGATTTCAAAACAAATTCGTATTTAAGAGTTTTAGTGGACTTATCTTAATCGTTCTTTCATAAAAAAAGTTTATTTCGTCTACTTTACTGGAAGCGTCTTTGGATTTTTGTTATTTATTGTACATTAGAATTTGTTTAACACAATTAACAATATTGTTTTTTTATTTTCATTAAAAAAACAAATCAATTGATATAACTTAGTAATGCATTTCGAGCAAGTCAGAAAACATTAATATAAAAAAAATATTGAAATTCTATTAAACAAATTTTTTTGGCTCCTAGGATGCTTTGGCAAGAACCCTCTGATCAAATATGTTTTGAATCACCAAAAAAAGTTTCATTGAAATCGGAGACCTCACGTCCGTAACCACCTTTAGTAAGTGGAGCAATACTTGTAAAGTATACGTCAATCATTCCTAACCAATTTGAAAAATTATAAAATTCTATGAAAATGAGAAAGTCAAAAATAGTGATGTAATCAAGGACATGATTTTAACTGAAAAGAATCAGCAGGGAGCTGGCTAAAGTCGTAAATCACAATCTCAATAAAGGGAGATTATACTATTAACTTTTTAAACCATGGAATCCCATTAATAGCGTGATCATGGCGTACACATTGGGAACTTATCGTCAAACTAAAGAGACAATAGTGCAATGGTACTCAAGTATGTCTCAAGAAATATGGTTTATAGTCATTGAAAAAAAAATTAATAATTCAGTTTTATTTATACATACCTCTAGGAAACTTCAAAGGGCTGACTAATTCTTTAAAGAACTCCTGGGCAACAGTAGGTCTTTCATGAATAGGAACATTTGGTTTAAACCAAAAAAACAATTTCCTACTTTCCTGAGTATGTAAACCAGTCTGACCATTAATAAGAAAAACCAGAAACTGCAGGGAAATCTCAGGAACACCTGCTTCCTCTGTATCTAAAATATATTAAAAATAAGTCATTCACAATGAACAGCACTAAAATGATTAGCAACGATATGCCATGAACAGAATATCATCACATACCATTTACAGTTGCCACTTTGTTAATGACAATCCCTTTGTGATCTCCTCCTGCGACATGGACATTGTTTCCATTTGGTTTACCATTAGCAATAGCTTTTCTTTCAATCACAATAGTTGTTGAATTGGCAGTTTTAGCCTTAGGGGTCATAATAATGCTTTCTAAAATACAGAACCAATAATTATTTTATTACATTTATACAAAACTGAAATTAAGTTCACAGGGCTAAATACTGTGTCAACATCAGTATTGAAGAACCATAAAGCTATGTTTTACCTGTAAGTGTGTCAACCATGATGTCTCTCTTGATAAATAATTTGATGTCCTATATGTTATTGATACAAGTCACACACCTGTGGCACTTATCACTAGAAAGATGATCTCAACAGGAGAAGTGAATGAAATGAATACTGTATGTCAAGGAAAACAGGGTTGGCGTTCGCCTGCTGGAGTAAAAGCTAGATAAAAATAACTTCTTTCCAGATTAAAGGAAAAGTCCAGTACCCAAAATAGAACGTATCCTATTCTATAAGCCGCGCCTTAAGAGTTCTAGTCAACAATCACATTTGTTGATAAACAAGAATGTTTAGCTTCTAAATATTTTCCACTGCAACTATTTTCATAGGTATAATTTAATTTTAACCTAACTATTTCGTTATCGGGTATTACAACATTACATTGATTAGTGAGATAACCGCGGAAGGTACAGAACCTGGTACCACAAAACACGACCGAATCACTAGAGCAACTGCTTGTTGACCTGACTAAACTATCAAAGGGAACCGTGACTCACGAGTTACGTCAGCTATATGACGTACTGTGAAATTGCAACCATTTCACCAGCAACAGGTCAAATCTATTATTCATATTACTCATCGATATATTATTAACTTTAAATTCTCGAAAGAATCGTAAAAGGGCTTCACTTGTAGTAACATTACTAACGACAAAACATAATTTACAAATGAGAATGACGTTTACGAAGTTATGTATACTATTTAATGTAATTTCTCATTTTTTTTTGCTTTAATTACTTAGGAGAAGACCTTCCTAATTCAAAAAATGTAAAACCTTTTTATCAAAGCTCTTGTCTCGACTTCCAAACCATAGCCCTGATGGTGACCCACATATTTGGTTAGAAACGTCGGTTACCTTATAAAAGAAATTTCGACTGAACTTCTTGACAATTTTGTTTTATCATACGTTAGCTTGGGTGTTTATGTGGTTAACAGTAACAACTAAGTCTATCTATTTTGACCAATATCAATGCTCCGTGTTTTACGAATTTAGTCGAAAACAAATATATATTCTTATTCATTTGATCTTCCAATCTTGTTCAGATACTATTTGGGAAGCATTCAGAAATATTCTGACAAGTGATTTAATGTTTCAAACGGCCTTTCAAAGTCCGTAGATCGGCATTTCCTAGGGATACAAGACGTAAGTCCGTGGGCGGGGAATCCAAATGGGCTAACGTGTGTGCACAGCACCGCCGTTGCCCGGCAACCTGATATATCAATCAAATGATATAAAAATAGTCACGAGATCGCGTCCCGGTGCCGAGGGAGTCTTTTAAATCTTCGCCTGCACTTCCTGGTCCGGGAAAACCCCGTATAGCCTTGACGGCGAGGAAGGGGAGGACCCCTCCCCCAAAAAAGACGTAAGTCCGTAAGGATACTGAGATTCGAAACTACCTTTAATTTGTTCGCATGTTTGTTGTGCAGGGGTGCCCAGAAGGGGATTTCATGGTGCAAATTGCGCCATCAAAATTTTTGAGGGGGGCATATATTGATGGGTTTTTGAATTTTTGAATGGAACAAATTTCGAAGGGGTTATGCGTTTTCGGACTAAGGGACGACAAGAGGAAACATTGAACAGACTTTAGGAAGTGTGATTGTATATGATCTACGTTTTTTTTTCTGATTTTGCCCTGGTTTTAAGAAACGTGAGCAACAAAATATCTTGTTCGGAGAGGAGAGGGGAGAGGTAGATTCTGCACCATCGATCTTGAGGGATGGGCATTCTTGTTCTTGCGTATCTTTCACTGTATGTGTCAGCACACTACTATTGTTACGGATCTTTTGATAAGTTATTAATAATTATATGTTTTTCTTCTTCACTAGTTTGAATTTCAATAACGTCTATTGTGAGCCAAGTAAAAAGAAACTGGTTTTTCGTAGTAGATGTTCATTCTGCCAGAAGAAGGAAAATACGAGAAAAATACACAAAATGGTCAAGATTAAGATATCATAAATTTAGTTTAATTGTATTAAAAGCAAACATTTCAAGAAAGCATAATTACGATAGAACACCTCGTCCTTGCTACTCATACGTAATTCAGAGTAGTTTTCAATTTAGTACAATAAGGAGTTCCAAAATATCGCACAAGGATTATTGAAAGTAACTTCCTAATAGAATCTTGAGTTATGCACTGGTTCACTAAGCCCGAAGAAATTACTACGCTCCACTTTGCGGACCATTTTGTAATCATGATTTGAAGGGGAAAATTTGGAGGAGCCTACTTAGAAAGCGAACAATCCTGTTATTAACATTCACCTTCACAGGTGACAGTGACTTTTATTGTTTGGTCTCCAATACGGTGATCATAAATTCGAGATAGAAATTATCGCGATCGGGAAAGAGGAGGAGACAATCAGTCTGACCATTCGACGTCCACTTAAAGTCATTCATTTGATGTATCGGTGGATAGATTGAGGGCAAACAAAGTTTGATGAACATCTGCGCATAATCAGAAATAAAACAGAAAGAATGAACTGGGTCAGACATATCAGATATTCTTTGCACGCAGCATCAATTTGGACGAATACCATTTTAATGCAGTCAGGTCCGACGAGAGGTTATAGCAATTTTTGAAGTGAAAATTTCTTTAGGGGTTGTTTGTACTTTTTTTGTGGAAAGTATATTAGATTGATCCGCCAGATTTCGTTCGGCATTAACGCTCGTATAAAAATTAAAATATTATTACATGTGTATTAAAATATCTCAGAAACTATAAATCGGGCCTGCATACTGTAAGCGAGGAAATTGTTCAGCATTACATCCTCTCTGTAATAGGCTATAATTCAAAATTGTATCTTAACGCGATGCCGTGTTAGAGAAACGAAAAGGAACAAATAGTGTTGAAAACCTAATGATAAGTTTAGTTGAACATACGGATTAAAATATTTCAGATACTAAAAATCGGATCTGTATACCGTAAGCGAGGGAAATGTTCAGCATTTCATATTTTTGTAATGAGATATTATTTATAATTTATATTTCATATTATTAATTTCGCCTTGTTGATGTTTTCACTTATATCGTGTGGTATAAAGCACAAACGTTAGTTTTTTTTACGTACAATTATATCGATTGCATAATAATTATGTAATATCTTTAAATAATTCTATGTTGCAGTCATTACAAAGGAGGATGGGCTTCAGTGGGGAATTTAATAGTTGGGAAAATTTGTCCCATAGGTCCTATAGGTCTTAATGTATATGGCCTTTAGACTATCAGCGTACGAAAGAAGTGCCCTATGTATGGTTCAAGAGTTCGTGTGCAGTACGCTGCATATTATGCTGAGTGTTTCGCCGACATGATTGCGATGGTTAGGAATGGAAAATAAGACTATCTTACGCTACTGCTTTAGGCTTAGTCCAGAGCTAACTTAATCAGCTATATGTCAGATGTAAGATAACTCTATGTGCAGTTTAGTGGATGAAACAATGGAATATGTTTTCTTTTGTTGCCGGATCAAAGAAAATGAAAAGTCCAGATAACTTCGTGAAAGAAGAATCCTGTATTTATATACAAAACTACGAGAAAAGGGGCGAGCAAGGAAAGGCGTGGTAGTTGCTTAATAATAAGTCTTGTCAAGACGTTGGAACAAAGCCAGCCTGCCACTTCTGAAGTAATATCTGAAAGCGGTTCTGCTAAGTGATAACGATAAATAAAAATATCTTACAAAGGAAATTAGTATTTCAGTGATCAGGAATCTCACACAACTAGTGACTTTTGTTAGGTGTAAGTAATTTCACTTAACTAAATTAAACATATAGACATATATCTATTTAATTAACGAACAAACTTCAGTCGCATTCTTGGAGCTTAATGAAGCTTTATAGGGATCATCAGTGAAACGAGGATCATCTTAATCAGGAAGTAAAAAACAAAAATCATGTTACGTTCTACAATAGCATGTTATTTAATAAATAATATTACAAAGAACAATAAAATAAACACGTCATTTTACAATCCATAGCTTATTCAAGTATGAAAAGTGTTTGTTGCATAATACGGAGATTACTTAATGAGAACGGAAATGAAAAGCATGGGAATTTTCGTTTTTTATCTCATGATGCGATGAACAGTCAACAAACATTACTTACATTATGACAGTCTCAGTAAACTATTTTATGTATTAAGTATAACATATATAATTATTGTAAAGTATTTGATACTTGTTTTCTTGTATTTTCTTTTGTAAAAAAATGTTTAAGTATCCATATCTAATTTAAGGTATAATGAAGTAGAAAACTACGCAGCTGAAATTAATGAAAGTTCGTAGAGTGATTTTCAATGGACAAGCTATATCGAAATCGCAAAAAATTTGTAGAGAACAAAAATGCAGTATAACTAAATCTACAAACGATTTGAAATACTACTTATTTAACAACTTTTACACTATTAATAATGATTTTGAAAATTATATGAATAGTTCTTTCAGAAAAAAGTATATTAAAAAAGAGATTAAAATAAATTATCCATGCCTGGCAAAAACAAACTGAAGCTAAAACTGAACGTTTTTTATCACTTACATTAACCTTAAAAACTACATTATATCTTGTGGTATTCATATTAAATGCAATTTATACAAAAAAGTAACATTTTTATACATCTAAATGTATGTACAAGAATTAAGTGAAAGAATTAAAATTCAATAAAAAATTGTAAAATGTGAAAATGGAAAATGAATAATAGTAATAATCCAAGTTATCGAAGTATAAGAAAAAATAAAAATAAAAAATAATACTAAATAGTATATTTTAGAAAATATTAATTCATATCTTACTTATTAAAAATTATTAGTAAATTAAGATATTTCACTGCTACCGATAACAGATTTTTTTTTCAAAGTTTCAGCTCTGAATATTCAATTGAATAAGAACATTTTTTAGTTTGGTGTGCATCTAATTATATATTTATGCTCAGTTTCATATCAAGTTTTAAATAATAGTTTAGTTTTCCTGCATCTGCAACGGTCGCCTGGTAGTTCCCAGTGGTTTGGACTTACGATCCAGGACTCTCACGTAAAGGAAAGAGGAACAGAAAGCCGCCCATTGTCCATTGCATCTGGATCTGATAGCTCAAAACGCCGGGTAAAAGTAGTAGGATTTTATAGTAAAAGTTTTATATTTATATATAATATAATATTTCATAATATTATTATTATTGAAATATATGCGTCATAAAATCTCTAACATTACGAAGTAATTGCACACACGCTGGTACGATGTTGTGTTCAGATATAATGCACAGTAAAAGAGAAGAATGGTTGGGGTGATCACAAAAAAATAGTAAAAATAAATGAGTACATATTTTTTTATTCTTGCCGACGTTTCGGCCTAAAGTTCTGGTCTTCACCAGAGCTAAGAAAAAAAAAAGATTACAGGTAGTTAATTCATTTTTCATTTCTTATGTGGCCTTATTTTGATTATGTTTATTTCATTAGTCCCTACTTTGTCGCCGTTATTATTTATT